GCATTGTGATTGGCCGAACACCGCAAGCACTCGTCGGAAATGTAACGTGCCTTACCATAATTGCGAGCTTCATCTTTCAAAATAAATGTAAAGACAGTAAATAATGTCATTAGTTTTACCATCAGTTCAAGCCCGAAAGGGGAACAGACACAGTAATGATGCAGTACACAAGCGCGGTTAAGACAGCTGACTCTACGGTGATGTGACGCTGTCTCTCTCACACACACACACGATGCGCAAAACTCCGCATTTGAACAGTCAATAGCAAATACTTAAACTAATAACAAAACAGGAACTGATTCAGAAGCACCAGATTGTCATAGCAAAGTCAGAATTACCTCCTCTCCTAGGTTCACGAAACGGTCGTCCATAAAATGCATTGCTGTTCTGTTGTAAGTCATCTTAAAGATTCCTAAATGCATCTACTTTCGGAAGGCCAAATAAAGTGCTTTTGCTTTCGCCTAGAAACACACAGCGTCTCCCTGACATGGCTGCTTCAACACTAACTGCGGTTACTGAAACCACGCCTTCTTTCTTTGCGTGAACATTTGGGTGGCATTATGCTAATATTTCCACATAGTGAGGTAGACATGTGGGGGCATGTTAGAACGAGCCGTTTTAAGAGGGCGTGGCAGAGTCTTAATTTTGATAAAGAATATCTCTTTGGTTTTGAGACTTTAGTCTTTGCAACTACAGGGATCTTATCTATGCACAATCAGCTTGTAACACTCCAAAGAGAAAGGAAAACTTAATCACATCATATGACCCCTTTGCTTAATAAAAACTAAATCTATTCTGCATGCTTTTAAAAAAAGATCAAATCAAGATCAGCTTTCACTTTAACATAACTCGGCAATTATGTACTGCATGCATTGTTGCAATACATCCAACAGGTTCTCTTTACTGCACCGTTCTGTTTCAAATGCAACGGTCCTACAGTCTAAATCTTGCAGAGTACAACCACATTAGTAGTAGTATGATGGCTTTAATAGAAGAGATTAATGACGGGCTCAAACTCACTACAACTGGCCCAAGCCACACTCAATGACAACTGGACGCCCTATGTTTAGCCCTGAAATGGGGCAGTGATTTGGTACACCTAACAACCTAGAATTAGATGAGGGGTGTAAAGAAATCTTACCCATCATACAAACCCATCATACCAACCATATACTGAGCTGTGGTAGTAGGGTGTAGATGTATCAAAACCATCATCATGATCTGCAAGCCAGCTCTGGCCAATAGCCATCAGAGATAGGCGGCTGCAGTAGCAATGAGAACAACACACAATTAATAGAAAGCATTGACTTGCTCCGCAACACTTCAATCATGAACGCCCCTGTGTGAACCGAGTTAAAAAAAGCCTTGATATTAACCAGTTTGTGCACCAGACATTAACAGGTGTGCAAGTATATGGGTCACCTTTTTCACTACAGACGGCCTTAGCCTTTAGCTTACCATCACCGCTCCGGCCGGAAACACACTGCTATGTCACACTGCCTAAACATTACAGAGATGCCATAAAGTGGCAACATTCATCAGAATGTGTGTTGGGCTAACGCACAGCCACACGCCACTTTTCCCCCACATGTGCTGCATCGTCACACTCACACCAAATGCAACACACATACACACGGGGGTAAAAACAGGAATATACTACGAACACAGACACAATAGGGTTGACAAGTGGTCATACAAGCACACAAACAAATGGAGTTTTATAACTTGACAGAGTTACGCATTTCTCATATGCAATTTTTAAATATTGAGTGGTTGGCTACACCTAAACATGGTCATTGCATGGGGGAAAAAAAAATAGAACAGATGGACTATGATCAACATACTTTGTTGCTTTAAAATAAAATATGAATTAATAGTTTTCAACTGAAGAAAAGAATGAATGATTCATTGTAGTAACAGATGGTGTAGCTGGTCTGGACATTGTTTTTAGTCTTTTAAGGAATTTAAAGAAGAACGAGAAGTCTTGGTTACTCACAGTGCATGTCTCTCTCGTGTTCATATTCAATGAATGCATAGCCTCTTGGTTTTCCAGTTTTCTTGTTGTACACAATATAGATCTAATAAATCCAGATAAGTTCAGGGATGAGTCTGGCAGGATAACAAATGGATAGTAGCATACTATGGAAATGTGCATAAGTTTAGTACAACTTACCCGTTTGATAGGACCATAAACTTCAAACTCGCGCCGTAGTTTGGATTCTGTGGTGTCATAATTCTGCATAAACAGGAAAAAAGGGTAAGATGTGCGTCTTCAAGACAATCTCTAAACCAGTGACGGGCAAACTTGGCCCTTCCAGGCCACTTTCCTGCAGCGATTTGATCCAACCCTGATAAAACTCACCTGCCTGTAGCCTTCTAGTAGTCTTGAAGACAATGATTAGCTGGTTCAGGTGTGTTTGATTAGGATTGGAGCTAAACTCTGAAGAAAAGTGGCCTGGAAGGGCCAAGTGTGCCCACCCCTGCTCTAAACATTTTGATTCTTGTCAGTCGACAAAAATACTCACAATTCGAGCCACAAACAAGGTCTTAAACGCGTCTCCTTGAGCATTAGGATCGTTGTGTGGGTCCCCTGTGGGAATACAAGAAACATTTTTTAGGGTTTTATAATAGTGTGTTGTATTGGTTGGCTTAGTAATGGGTTCAGATACTTACATAGCTTCAGTTCTCCTTCCACCACAACTTGCCTCCTTTCCATCTTCTCCCTTCTCTGCAATTCAAATCACAATGGACCATATTACAAAAAAATTGAAAATAAATTTCCCATGAGATAATCTTCCATGGAACACATGAAAATTGCTCAAAGTTAAGTGTACTAAAAATATTATGCTACTCACAGAATCCCTTTAAGATAGAACATTTATTTAAAAAATCTTTAAAATACTGTTCTGTCATCTTGAACTCATAAACCCACTGAATAAATGCCTGTCAACAAGCTTTACCCCATTCAGCATTAGAAAACATGAGTAAACTTTCCACAAAAACAATTCAGTCAAAACTTGCTCACCTTTCTCTCCAGCCTCTCCTCCCGCGTCTCTGCTCTTGTGGGTGGTGGAGCATCTCTGGGGTCCTAACCAACAGTGGGGAACAAAACATCATTATATAACAATACTATATAATACCCATCATGCATGCAACACTCTTATGATCAAAGACTTGATCTGTAATCTTTACGGTCAGTCTTTAAAAAAAAAAAGCTACAAAATAATCTTTTACATAAAATATGTCAAAAAGCACCTCAAAATGCCGGATGAAAGGGGCAATCCCGCAGTACGGCTGGTTGTGATGTTTCTCATGGGGAAGCTTCTCCAGCTGAAGCAGGAACGGTATCGGGTCCCGCGGGGCAAACAATGCCAACAGGTTCGGGGGAAGAAACTGAGTCATTGTTCACCTAGGAACAAGAAACTGAAATGGATTAATTCATAACTCAGAACAACCTTTAACATATACCCCAAATACCATACCTGTGCAGTTATGGTGGGTAAATTATTAATAAAAGGAGATTTCAAGGAGATCACAGCAGCGACATATTGAAGTTGGTAACGTTAAACTTAACCTGAGAAAGGAACTTAGCGTTTTTCTCACATCTAACGATAAGCATTTCCAGTATCTGCATCAATAAAGTAACACCCCCTAACTTAAACGATTTTCGGGAAGTTAGCTAGCCGCGTAGCAGTGCCTGCTAACTTACCTCGGTTAGCTTTTTGCGATCAACACTATAATCGCACTACATTATTGATGAAATAATCAGCGTTTTCACTATTTTGCATGTGATAGTAAACAAACCGAAACGCTTTACACAAGTAATGAAAGTGCACGTTCTGTAACACACGCGTAAACCAAAACTCAACACTGGTTAGCTCTAGTAGTTCACCGTTTCTACTGATCAGATCAGAGATCGCCAACATGTCCACAGGCGGCCTCCCACAGTCAATTACCTCAGCTTCTCATTCGGTTCCGACGAAACCTCCGAGTTTAGCGCACAAACCCCCCTGCGTCAGTCTGTAGGAACTCTTCGTGCGTGAACTTCTAAAATCCCTTTAGTATTTTGTGTGTATTTCGGTCCACACAATACACAACGTGTATCTTCACCAAGCTGAAGTCTCTTGTTCCTTTCTTAAAATGGCGCGAGGCCGCAAACCACTCTGGTATTTTACGATGTTTGTACTCGTCTAGAGGAGCTTTACGTTAGGGGCGTGGTTACGTATTACAAAATAAAAGCTTTGACTACACTAGAAGTTGACCACCTTCAGATCCCTCTGAATTTTGTGTTTTTTGCGGAACAGATTTTGAGACTGTTTGTTTTGCATCTTTTTTTCGAATGTATGTTAAATTATTTTGGATTGATGTTGAAAGTTTACTTACAATGTTGAGTGGATCTAAAATGAATACAAGGAAAAGAGATGTTATATTTTATTTTGTGCTTTTTATTTGTTTTCCTTTCTTTCGTAAAATGTGAATGTCCTGTTTTGTAATATTTAGTTATGTTATGAATGTTAATTTTTCAGTATATACAATTAAAAAAAAAGTTGACCACCTTCAAACACTCAAACCTTGCGTCATATTTTGGAGGTGTATTTTTTGTTAATTAACTCCCTTGTGTAATATTATTATGCCTTCTTTCTTTCAAGTATGGTGACCCATACTAGGAATTAGTGCTCTGCATTTATCCCACACACACAGCAGTGCACACACACACCCGGAGCAGTGGGCAGCCATTTTTTGCTGCGGCACCCGGAAAGCAGTTGGGGGTCCGGTGCCTTGCTCAAGGGCACCTCAGTCGTGGTATTGAAGGAGGAAGAGAGTGCTGTACATTCACTCCCCCCACCTACAATCCCTGTCGGTACGATACTCGAACCCGCAACCTTTGGGTTACCAGTCCGACTATAACCATTAGGCAACGACTTCCCCCTGATAAACGACTTCATTATGATAAAAAATTAAGCATAAATAGATGATCTGTTTACAGTACGATCATTAAGATGCTCTTAGAAGAAAAAAGATGGGTGGATTTCCATTTCATGCTGACTTTTAAGATCTAGAATTACTGATGTTGTTAGGGTGGCCACAATAATCACAGTCTCTTAATTCAGTGACATGCCTGTATTTTATTTCTAGGAGCTCTCTGGTAAAGATGATGATAAAATTTATCGCGGCATCAACAACTACCACAAATACATTAAACCCAAAGACTCCACCATGGGCAACGCTTCCTCTGGTATGGTCAGGTGAGTCAGTATAAATGAGTTTGAGGACACATAATGCTAAACTGATTCATAATGTCTTGTACGTGATAGGAAAGGACCAATCAGAGCACCTGAGGGCCACAGTACGGTGGGATTACCAGCCTGACATTTGTATAGACCATAAAGAGACTGGCTTCTGTGGGTTTGGAGGTGAGTAAGCAACAGATTTCCTCTCTAGTTTTGTCAGTCCTTTGAGGTTAATGTGAACAACCATGGCAATATTCATTGCAGAAATAAACATGTCTTTTTTTTTTTATCCTCAGACAGCTGTAAGTTTCTCCACGACCGCTCAGACTATAAGCACGGCTGGCAGATTGAGCGAGAGCTGGAAGAAGGACGATATGGGGCAAACGGTGAGCCATCTTTAGGTACTGGTCTTTAGGTAAACTTGGCTTCTTTTGTTCTGTTTTCTGACATATTGTTTCTCACAGATGAGAACTATGAAGTGAGCAGCGATGAGGAAGATCTTCCTTTCAAGTGTTTCATTTGTAGCGATTCGTTTAAAAACCCCATTATTACAAAGTAAGTGCTACATTAAGCCATGGCCAGTTTGAATTGCAAATGCTATTCCCTACTCTTACCACAGCACAAATCCACATTATTTTGCTTTAGTCTCTCATATCTAAATCATTTGGCATTGTGTTTGCATGTCATAGCCACATATTTGACTGTAGAACTAGTATGTCATTGTCTATTATTCATAAGTATAATGTCTTTGTTTTCCAGGTGCCGGCACTACTTCTGCGAGGCCTGTGCTCTCCAGCACTACCGCAAATCTAAGCGCTGCTACGTTTGCAACCAGCAGACCAATGGCGTCTTCAACCCTGCCAAAGGTGCTTATCTACTTACAGTATAATCCTTGAATTGAACAAAGGTTTGGGGTCAGTCAGATTTTAGTTTTTGAAAGAAATTAATACTTTTATTCAGCAATGAGGTTACATAATATTTCTAAATCCTGAAAACAAACTTTTTTTCAAAAACATCAATAAAAAAAATCTTACTGACCCCAAACTTTTGAAAGGTTGTGTAGTTTAAGGTGAAAAATTATTTTGCATTAATCCCAAATAACTGGAATAGGTGTGGTCAGTTGTGGAAAATTGGTAGATCCCTGATGTTTCACTCACCAATATCCTATATTATTTCAAATGAAGACTAAGAAACTAATTTGTGTATTTTTTTCCTCAGAGCTCATGGCTAAGATGCAGAAACAACAGGCAGCTGATGACCAGCCTCCCTCAGATGAGGATGACTAGCGCCACAACTTCCCCTTCTGCGTTTTACTTTTGTTAGTCAGATTCCCTCGGACTTGAACATTTTCAAAACCTTTGAAATAAACATACTTTTGGAGAACGACTTTTTTTAGTGATCGTTCTATGAGAACAACTATAACAATGACCCAAAAGAACAATATTGTAATTTAAGCTGATGAAGGCAAAAAATATTGACAGCCAATCAGAATCCACCCGGCATTAACCTTGGTGATTGTTGTTAGCAAACTTAAAGTTTATCTTTAAAAACATTATTTTTAACATTGTTAAATATAATCTTAGCCAGATCTCAAAAATATTTTTATAATGTATTGTCACTAAATGCCTAGAATTTAAAATGTATTTATTTTTACTTTTTTTTTTTTATTTTTTTATTTTTTTTGTTCATTTAGGCAAATAAGTATACTCAAGTAATTTAGAGCTGCGGTAATGAACCAAATTTCCCTCCGGGGATTAATAAAGTATTTCTGATTCTGATAGAATTTGAATATCTGCTATTTATTAGTTGTTGGCCATAACATGAATATATTTATCAGCTTAAATCTAAAATATATCAGTGCATTCCCTATTGTAAACTGAATATTATATAGAGAAACCATTATTGCAGAAGCTGTTTTTTCAAAATGGGTTGTGATGTAACAAACAGCATTGAAAAAAACGACAAACAAGGGCTGACATTTGTGCAGTTGCAACATTTATTCCATTTGACCAAGAGGCAAGTATGCTGAAAATACACAAACGGTCCACTGAAGTACTTCTTCCCGGTAATGCATGCCAAGAACAGAAATGAATCTCAGCAGAAATGCAACTAATATAAAACTAATAACTACACCAGATAGCAGGCAAAAACTAAATCTTGTCCTCTAGCATATTCCTGGTGGCATCAACATTTGTGCTGGGAGAAGAAACTTGATAGTTTGAATCCCTACAGTCCATCCATAAATTGAACAGTTCTATGTTTAGGTTGACTTTACTGACAGCTCTTTATGCTTCATTGGACAAATATGCTAGGAGACATGGGAATTCAATTGTGAACCTGTTTTGCTGTAAGCTGGTAGACATAGAGTGTCATTAGTTCAGGTGAAACACACAGAACAGGCTTCAGTAGCCTGAGGTGATCACCATTGTCACATGGCCAGTCAGTAAGTGTTTGCGCAGTGCGTGCCTCAGGCTTCACTTCATGCTTCTGAATGCATTAGCAAGGCTATGGTGGCTGCTGGTTTTTCATTTCTCTTTTTATAGTCGGTCCTTTTAGTTTCAGTGATATACACATCACAAAAGGCAACATCCCAGAGTGTCTTGTAACATCTTTGAAGCTCTTTGTAATGTCTATATCACATTCACATAGCACCACCCTTCCCCTTTTCTCCCTTGAAACAACAAAAACAATCAATTCTCATTAAGAGTCCTACAGTATTCTCCTCCCTTTCGGTCCAATCCATCGTCCCTTCATTTCTCATCCGTTTAATGTCAAAAGTCCCAGTCATCCACATCCAGCTGGCTGAGATCGGACTCCAGACTGGCCAATCCAGTGGGAGAATCCTGAGGCTGCATGCAGTCGAGGCTGCTGATTGGAGAAACTGGACGCAGGAGCTCAGGAAGAGCCTCAGATGATCTGCGCTTTATCTACAATGATATAATGTTATATAGACCACAACAATACACTAGTTGCACTAGTCAACACCAGTGAAGTCGCATTTATTTATATAGCACTTTATGAAATACAGATCGTTTTAAATCAGCTTCGCATCAATAAACGGGAAAATAAGTGTTAATGTTGTATAATCTATCATTTTTGAAACGCTCAATTTCAACCGCTGTACGGAAGACAATAGTGTCTTGTCTTAGTTCAATGTTGTGTCAATTCAGTTCAATCCACCTTATTTTTCCCGTAAGAGCAGACGCATAATTTGTCAATTTTATGGGTCTGGCTTGCGGCCTTATCTGCTTCCAGCTATTTTTAGCTGTACAAAACAACTTGTTTTGCTGCTTTATATTGCAAAAGGTGTGTCTTACCATATTATTTGAATGTATTATCTTAATTTTGAACAGTGGTTTGTAGTGCAAACAGTTTTACAGTTTACTGCACTTTGTTATTCTTCTCGTTATTTCCCTACAGCAGCTAATGAACCAGAAGTCTCACATATTCACAGAAAGCGGCTTATTTCTGCATTGAAAAATAAGGTGGATAACTTTGCAAATTTCATAAAATACATCTTTGTTCATCACACCCCATTAAACATTCATATAAGTGAACTTTACCTTGTTGTCATTATCTGGATGATCAACAAATGTTGTTCAGAACAAACAAGGAACCCATGAAACTCGTCAAAGATTAGAATTGTTAGCTTAAGCAAATTATGTTTGTCTATACTGATTTAAATGAAGACCAGGTGGCATTTTATGACAATTTTTTTCTTGGCACTGATCACTTGTCAGATATTTCCGCTGAAGAAGGTAAGACTCACCTGTTTGAAGAAGGAATGGCCTATCAGAGAGCTGGCAGAAGGTCTGTGGGAAGACATGACAACATACATTTAGTCTATTTATTATTACACCACAAAAGTATACATTAATTTTGTTAAACTTTTTATGCTACAGTTATTTTTAGTTTGGAGCACTTTCATTATAAAGTAACGAGTGGCCAGTCCATTCCTAAAATGTCTCTTTTTGTGTTCCACAAAACAATGACAATCATTTGGAATGATGTGATGGTGAGTAAGTGACAGAATTTTCAATAATTCCTTTCTAAATAAATATAAATCACAAAGAGTAGAGTGTTATTTACCTTTTCTCGGGATCTCTCTGTAGACAAAGTTCCACAAAGGCATGAAAGTGAGAACTGAATGTTCTGCTGTATGGGTTTCCTCGGGAGGAGGATGAGGGCTCTCCGTTAGTGTGGCGAGCTCCACCGGCACCGGGGCCCTCGCAGATCCCAGAGTCGGCCCCGGAGCGAGACGGTTTCATGCTCAGTTCTTCAGGGGGGATGGTGGTGGTGTCCAGCAGGCAGGGGACTGTGCCGTTCAACTTCTCTAACAACATCTGATACAGGCAAAGAGACCGTTTATCAAGGTAAATGTAAGATAAAAAGAAGGAAAAGCAAAAAGTGACTGATAAAAAAAAAAGTTTGCCTTACCTGTGTAGCAGGCATGTCTGTAAAGGGCACGTGTCCATTAGCTAGCTCACATGCAGTGATGCCCAAACTGTAAATGTCTGAGCGGAAGTCATATCCCTGAAGATTCTATAGTATACATATATATATATATAATATAATTTCCAGTGTGTTATATAGACAGTATACAGTACTGTTTAAAAGTCTGAAGGATTTAAGAAGTCTCTTATGTTCATAAAGGTTGCACTTCATCAAAAATATTATGAAATAGTATTACAATTTTCTATTTGAATATATTTAAAAAATGTAATTTAATCCTGTGATGGCAAAGCTGAATTTTCAGCATCATTACTCCAGTCTTCAGTGTCACATGATCCTTCAGAAACCATTCAAATATGCTGATGTGGTGCTCAAGAAACACTTTCTTATTTTTAACATTTCTATTTTTATTAAAAAAATCTTACTGACCCAAACTTGAGATGGGAGGTATATATTAAACGTACCTGCTGCAGAACCTCTGGACTGAGCCAAGGTAGTACTTTAACACTGTACTGGGGAAAATCATGTACAACTCGTGCTCTCTGACCGTGACGGATCAAGCTGAAGATACTCCTGAGACCGGACAGATACACCTGTCCATCTGCTGAAATCAGGATGTGGCTTGCCTTCACACTACTATAGACGCATATTGAGATGATAAAAAAATACATATTGAGATACTTCAATATTCTTGTAGCATCTACATTAAAGACATCAGGCTGACAGTCTGGTGTGGTTGTTGATTTATTAACCTGTTTGACTAATAATAAGAAGAAGGACTAATCATAATATGTGTTCCTCACCGGTGAACGTAGCCCATCTGATGTATGTACTCCAGCGCTCTCAGCACACCCAGCAGGATGTAGGCTATTGACTGCTCACTCAAACCATCAGTGAAATGTGTACTGATCAAGTCTTGTGCGGATCCTGATGAAGCAGAGAAACACATATGAACGGTAAGCAAAACACAGCTGTTTAGACTTGATTGATGCAGAACGTCTCCGCTAACCGTAGGCCATGAAGGGTATGATCACCCACAGCTCATTCTCAGCGATGAAGACGCTCTTGTGTGGGAGGATACAGGGGTGGTGGAACAGCTTAGACACATGGAGCTCTCCCTTTAGAAAAGCAGAGAAAGTGGTTGCAATGCATATGTAACAATATGCAGGACTAATTAACTAGTTAAGTATTTGTTCTGCACCAACTAGTCAACTAATAAATACACTAAACTTCTCAAAACACAAATTGAAATACACTTTCACACTGAATCAGTGTTATAATTGGCAACTAAATCTCTAACTATTTAAAATAGTTTTTATTAATTGAAACAAATAAAACAACAAAATATAAATATTAGTAAAAAAAAAGAAAAGAAAAACTAGAACGAAAATTAGAAATGTTGCCTTGGAATTAAAGGGGTCATATGATGTTGCTAAAAAGAACATTATTTTGTGTATTTGGTGTAATGAAATGTGTTTATGTGGTTTAAGGTTAAAAAAACACATTATTTTCCACATACTGTACATTATTGTTTCTCCTCTATGTCCTGCCTTTCTGAAACTATTCGATTTTTACAAAGATCATCGGTCTGAAAAGCGTGGTGTGCTGTGATTGACCAGCTATCCAGTGCGTTGTGACTGG